CAGGGAACGGGTACTTCATCTAGTTTAGAATAATTTTAGATCTAAAGAGATTTGTAAGTCATTAAGAGTGGGGCGATCTTTAGCTATGAGTAAACTTTCTTTAATGTAGAGTTCAAGGTCTGAAGATCCTGTAGTAATTGTTACGTCTCCGTTCGTTCGTTAATTTTCCGTAAAAATTCTTACCGAAGAAACTTTACCGATACAAGTCCTTTCTTAATAAAACTGGTTTATTCTTTCTGAATACAATTTTGCGATACACTTAATTTCAACGGTCGCTCTATAACAAACGCTATAATTCACAACGAACTTCTCACGTGCTCAACAATATTCTCTCTGTCCGCAGTTCAATTACTCATTACCTTCCCGTCACGTTGTGACCGTCTTATATATAAAAGAATACCGAGATCTAGTAAACTCCCGATATTTCAGGAAGGGACGTGAACGTTCGAGAAGCTTGTGGCGTGATACTAGAGTCACGTGACCCCCGATGTCGTAAAATAATGATAGAAAAATCGTTATATGAAATATTGTGACTTGTGATTTCAACATGTGAACGAATGGACGAGTGGCTTGGTTTATTTAATGAACTGTCGGCGGTTCTGTTTGTTACTCTAGTTTTCAAGTGGTGTTTTGTTTTGCCAATTAACGTGAACTTACACGAGCAATGGACGTAGAAGTTTAGATATTTGATCTAATGAAATAAGTGTTTAATGCAGAGGCCAGGTCTGTATTGTTACGTATCTCCTTGTTTGTTAATTTCCCATAGAAATTCTTTCCGAGAAACTTCAGGGATACAAGTCCTTTCTTAATTCTTTCTCAATACAACTTTGTAATACACAGTATTTCCACAGTCAATACGTTTGCAATCTCGATAACAAAACACACACTTTATATTATGTCACTACCGCTTGCTTGACTCAATTATCTGTCTCTATATTTATCTATCTGCAATTATATCTCCGCTTTATTTGCCGGGCTAAAAAAGAGGGCGCCTGGAACAGACTAGAGGTGCCAGGAAAAGTCATGATCCTTCTAGAAACTCCAGCGCATATGCTTCCAGAATCGCGTGACTTCCGCTGTCGTAACAATATAAAAGTTATAAACAATTTGACCCTGTTGCTCATTAGGTTGCTAGAAGCTTATTGGTCAAATAAACTCACCAAGCCGTTGGTTGAAACATCTTTATGAATTCACATCCATAACATAGCCTGACAGTTTATTCCACACACCCACTTTATTCTATTCTTATGGTATACTTGGAATTATATACCAGTCTCCTTAATTTATGTAGATAACAAAAGTAGCTGTTCTAATATTAAATCCTGTAATAGTCGACAAAGTACCTTTCTTTAAGTTAAGGTTACTCTTACTGAGATTACCCTTAGTTCAGTTACACTAGCTTTACTTTCTAAACCAATGCTGATTGTCTTATAATACTGTTACGGCCCGGCATGGCCAGGTGGTTACGGCGCTCGACTCGCAACATGAGGGTCGCGGGTTCGAATCCCCGTCACACCAAACATGCTCGCCCTTTCAGCCGTGGGGGCGTTATAATGTGACGATCAATCCCACTATTCGTTGGCAAAAGAGTAGCCCAAGAGTTGGCGGTGGGTGGTGATGAATAGCTGCCTTCCCTCTAGTCTTACACTGCTAAATTAGGGACGGCTAGCGCAGATAGCCCTCGTGTAGCTTTGCGCGAAATTCAAAACAAACAAACAAACAAATAATACTGTTACTCTCTGTTGGTTTGATAAGTTCCCGTAGAAATTCTTTCCGAGAAACTTCAGCGATACAAGTCCTTTCTTAAATAAAACTAGTTTATTCTTTCTCAATACAACTTTACAATACACTTAATTTCCACAGTCACTTTAAACACACGCTATAATTCACAATTATTCACGCACTTACTTACGGTCACTACCTCGCTTGACTCAACTGTTCGTCTCTCTCTCTTCCTGTCTGCAATTCAATTCCGATTAACTAATTTCGCTTTAACTGGCGCACTTATATATACAAGAATAGAGGGCGCCTAGCAAATACTGGATTATTCGTCATGTTCCCCAATCCTTCGAAAATATCATGACGTGTTACCAGAGTCACGAGACTAACGCTGTCGTAACACTGCCCCTTCCTTAGTATTGTTCGTCACGAACAGTAGCCACTTACAAT